TAAATATGTATTCAGGCTTCTATTCATCGGTTGAAATTGCTCGCTACTGAACGCGTTGCTCCCGACAGCCTAGAGATTCGTCTACCTATGTACCTATATATTCCCATTTGAAAACAGATTTGTAGTCTATGGTGCGCCCGTTTTACGAAATCAATGGATTACTCATCAGATGACTTCGTAGGATCATTTCGCGCAGCGTTTTCTACTATTTCGGAACGATATATATCTATCTATCTACAATCCATGTTATGTCAATTTCGGCATTAACTTAAAAACGGCGTATATGACTCTAGGTTTCTAATCTATTAAAAGTATTTTTCAAAGCTGTCTTCTCCTATCTAAGAGATAAAGATCAACAACTCAATGTAAATGAGGATGCTCAACGTAAGAAATAGATCAAACCGTCCGCAGGTTGTGCAACGGTCACATTACTATACTCCCCTCTGTATCTTTCTATCCATCAAAGCGCTTCTTGTCATTTATCTGTTACAACACGTGGCATCTAGCCGATACATGGAATTTCAGAAAAAGAAATGTTACGATAAGCACACTGCGTCGGTGAAACTCCACTAGGATATAGTCGGGATAATGACATAAATGAATCCACTTCAGTATTTACATATGTATTGTTATTTTTGGTCTTATGACAAGAAATAAAGCGCAAATATGGGATGTAACTATTGTACGCTTGTCAGTCTGTATTAATCATTTACCGTACAGTGGAGAAATAAAGAAACCAAGTACACTGGAACGTATTAGAAATCAATGGAAGGTGCAAAACTATAAGGATACGATTTGCCGGAGGCGTCGATCACAGACATGCGACCGGCATTGCCGGTGGTCCCTCACATCTCGGATGGCTCATTGAATCTAATTCGTTCCAATCCCTCTTCAAGAATAACGTGCCTCGTATTTAGGCGGGAATTCAGACAGAGATACAGTATTTCTTTAATATATATATACACATACTTGTTGAGTTGCTTAGTAATACATATTGACAAGCTTAAGATTTCCATTACAGGTATCGTGCGCTAAATAGTTTGTGTTGAGCGAAAGCGCCGTCTCCTTATCGGTTGTTTACTGTGGCTAGAAAGTGTCGACAGATTCATAAAAAGAGTATTTTAATGCGACCATCAAGACCAGTTTGATTCGTCGGAAAGCGCCCTTTGAACCGCTTTTCTTTTATGACCGCCGGTTTCGACTAAACATGCGACGTATTTTCTAAGCGGAAACCAAACAGAAATGTATGAATATATCTATTCCTGTTGTTAAATAAATTAGTGGCCGCCATTAGCAACCGCGCTGTATTTTTACCAATGTATTTTTCCCATCGGTCAAAATCTAGACGAGGATTTTCTCTGCGCAGAATACTGTGAGACTCGCCACTAGAACTATTATTTTTGCTGGAAGTTCCATTTGTTAGCGATATTCTTGTCCATGGGTTACGGTTTCGTGGCACATTTTCATAGCAATGACTAGATATTGAAAACACAATATTATTACTCTTGTCCAAATCTTGATAGCTAGCGTTCATGCATAAAATTTAGTTTCAATAAGGGCAACGTCCCACATGCATTTTGTTTGCTTCAGTTTATGAAGTCGTTCTTAGTCGCTTTTGCATACTTCACAACGTTTGAAGCGCACTTACATAACCATTTATGGACGAGGAGCGTAATCGTGGGAACACACGTGTTGTTGGCCCAGCGACACCAAACGATTGATGATTCCCGACGATACAGACAGCAGGTCAATCGATATAATCATTTGTATTTGAATAGACAAATGTAGTTCAGCATAACTTGTACGTGTATATATATACAAACTGTTCACCCGAAATAGACAAAGATTATTCTGCTGATTCTAAGGAAATAGTGGACCTCGATCGTCTAGAAATGTTTGTGTCGAATTAATCTGGTGATTGGCGATGTCAACATGACAATCGACATCGGCGTTTAAAACGTGCGCTATTAATTTAATAAATTATTTACGTTGCAAGATTTTAGATATTTTTTGATGGTTTTAAATAGTAATGAAGGTTTTCGAGTTGAAATGTTTACAGGTCAACCTTTATATAATCTACTCACTGTCTGTAGACATACGAGACGGAATAGGACCCTGTGATGATTTGCCTAAAAGATTTAAAGGAAACAAGTGGATGGGCCAAGGATACCTCGGCTAAAATGAGGACTTGGCTAATAGGATTTACTTCGCAACCTGGTAATAATCAACGTATGTGCTACATTCAGTTAACAGACGTATTTAAGACGTTTTAGCTCGTAATATGAATATATCTATATTAACCAGTAAATCACTTTGAAGTGAAGAAGTGAGTGCTAAGTCAACCGAATGTTTGATAAGAGGATGTTTAGATTTATTGTTATCCCAAAGAAATGGGAATGTTATATCATCACGCTTGTTTATAAATCGATATCGATTCGATTTCAGTTCGCTTCCATTTGAGGCGTTGTGCTGCCTG